TGAGTAGGGGATGGATTCAGCCTATCTGAGGATCAAGAGTTCAGGGTGGCCTTTGTGACACTATTACACCCCCACCCAGGTCCAAAAAAGTCTTCTGACAAATAGCAGCCCTTCCTTTTCCTTCCCCACCTGTCCACCACCTGCTAATGTGATATAAGCATGGCAGAAGCCCAAACACCCCTTCCAGAAATCCCAGGACTCATGTGGGAAATACTTTCATAACTAACGCCTTCTGAGAAATCGCTGCTTCCTTGAACTTACCTACTTTTCTTTGAGAGGTCCTTTAATCCTGCATTAACGGGATACCCCCCAAAAAGTTTCTACTGAATCACCCACCCTTCCTCACTCCTTTCTCCTCGTTAATCATCCAAGCCTTTTTTAAGATGATCCAGGTGCCCAAAGCAATCATTACATTTCAAGTGTCTTTTTAAAAATTATTTATTCCAAACATTTACAACGTTCACTTTAAATGCAAAATAACTGGTAAAAAGAAAAAAAACACTGAAAAATATACTGACCCTTTGCCGCATATGCAGACATCAGCCTTTGGTATTTGCTTTCAGGTAATTAGGTAAAACAAACAAAAACTTGAAACTATTATTTCTCTCTAAGAAAACAATGTAGAGTTGAGGTATTTAACAGATGTGATCTCTGTCCAGTAAGGTCTCTCTGTGAATTAACAGCATGGCCACACGCTGTTCCGACCCTTTCCTCCTGAAGTAGATTTTCATTTGAGCATATGTTCATACAGCTGACTATGTTCCTTAATTATCTTTAAGTTGCCATAGAAACTCCCTGGTGCTGGCGCCCAGCCACCAGGACAGGAGGCTGAAGGGCTTTCGGGGGCACTGAGGAGGACCTGGCACAGAGCCTGAGCTGGCCCGCCTGCTCCTCCCTGTGCAGGCCCTTGCCTGCAGCTGCACGGGACAACTGGGTGTGGGGCTCTTGCCCCAAAGGGTCACGGGTTGCCGCTGCATCTCCAAATTAAGACAGATTTCTCACCCACTCCACCTGGAGCTGGTGACAGCATCCTCCTCACCTGGGTCAGCCTTCCGACTGTGCTGTAAGATGATACAGCTCAGCACCAAAGCAGCCAGGAAGACATTCCTGAGCATTCTCTAGGAAACAGACCCATAGACTACAACACTTCCAGCCTGCCCTGCTGGGCCCTGTTCACCGCCAGGCGGGCTTCCAGTCCGGTTCCAGCGGCAGATTCCACACCCTGCTGAGGCAACCACTTTCCTTTCTCCCAAGACAGCAGAGAAAGGCCAGAGGCTTGGTGCGAGCCCAGAGCCTGACAAACAAACGGGAGGACAAGTCCCCATCAAGGCCAAGAGCTCTCCGAGTTACCAAGAGCCTCTCAACACAGCCAACGCTAGCCCTGGGCATAGTTCTTAAAATATTTCATGAATGCTACAAACATGATTTTACATTAGATGTTGAACCAGCCTATTTTTGACTTTCCCCACCCAGGAGGCTAAGATGTCTTATTTCATCTAAATGGTCTCTGTCCCAGTGTTTGACGTCTAGCTGCGTGGCAGATGGCCACAGGTGTGAGGCGAACAACAGCACTGCCGCAGAAACGCCGGTGGAAATGCCCCGTGGATGGAGACACGTGTGCAGTCACCACAGATTAGAGGACAGAGAAAGCTTAGGGTGTATACCTGTGTACACTGAACCAGGCCTAACAGCCGAAAGAAGGCACTGTTTCTTCATTTACACTAGCTTATGAAAAATAAAGGGGAAAAAAAACCCTCTTAAATACAAAAAAAAAGAGGCAGTTCCATTACAATAATAATGAAAGCAGTAACAGTTCAGAGATCAAAGCTGCCTAGCTCTTGGCAATAATGAGCTATCTGGATTTCACATCTTCCGCCAGCGCGGTTCTGCCCCGGCTTTGGTAACACCATCCGTGGGTAAAACAGTGTCAGGAATCAAAGAACTGTGGGGACAGAATCACCTCTCTTCGTGCACATCCTCATTCTTAATATTTCCCTTTAACAGCATTTTTGCTGTTCTCAAATCTCAGAAACTTTATGTGGCAGGATGGGAGGGAACCACCGCAACCACCTGCCTGCCCATTTTTTTTCTTAAGTGTTATTGTTTAATAGAGACAGTGTCTGTGTTGCCCAGGTTGGTCTCAAACTCCCGAGCTCAAGCAACCCTCCCACCTCAGTCTCCCAAAGGGCTAGGATTACAGGCGTGAGCCACCGCGCCTGGCCATCCTGCTTGACTTTTTGCCAACTTAGGGGTCTAAAATCTACAGTGAAACCCAGCAATGAAAATCACAGCTTGCTGAAAATAGTGACAACTTGAATCTGGTAAACCATAAATAAAACATGGTCATTTTCATCCTTTTGCACCTGTCTGGTAACGATTGTTTTTCTAAGAGAAAAGGTTTGTGGGGCCGGGCACAGTGGCTCACGACTGTAATCGCAGCACTTTGGGAGGCCAAGGCTGGCGGATCACGAGGTCAGGAGTTCAAAACCAGCCTGGCCATCATGGTGAAACCCTGTCTCTACTAAAAATACAAAAATTTCGTTAAGTGTCATGGCACTCGCCTGTAATCCCAGCTACTCAGAAGGCTGAGGCCAGAGAATTACTTGAACCTGGGAGGCAGAGGTTGTAGTGAGCTGAGATTGTGCCACTGCACTCCAGCCTAGGACAGAGAGAGACTCCATCTCAAAAAAAAAAGGAAAGAAAAGGTTTGTGGTCTGGTAAATTTTGGGGCCATGCTTGCACAGCTGATTTAAATCATATCACCACTCTGAAATACCCTGATAACTTGAGGACTAACTGGGTAACCACTAACGCCACTGAATTTTCAAAGCTGGGACAGGAAAGTCAGCTGAGGCAGTTAGTCACGGTGTCACTCTAGATGTTCAGTTGTGCTTCAATTCTTGCTCAGCTGAATCAACTCAAGGAACTAATGAAAAGAGGAAGGCACCAAGGTAAGGGATTTTTTTAAGTGGATCTCCCCTTTGATAGCAGAAAGCTCATGGTTTTCAGGGTGGGGAATTTCTAGGACCCTGCGTAGTAGTTGTGGGAGGCTTCCTTCCCAGCACTGCGACAGGGACCAGACACCCTCTCCATAACTGCCTGGGGGAGCAGGCACATGCTGGCTGGTTTTTCCCTAGAGTAGAGAAGAAGCAGACTGTTTTTCCACTTTTTAAGACAAAAACAAAATACAGAATGAAGCCACAATCCCTTCTCTAATAGGAAAAATCTTTTTTCTCTTCTTTTTCGGTGGGACAGGATCTCACTTGCTCTGTCACCCTTTCAATGGTGCAATCTCAGCTCACTGCCTGGCTCAGAGATCCTCCCTCCTCAGCCTCCCAAGTATCTGGGACTTCAGGTGCACTCCATCACACCCAGCTAATTTTTGTGTTTTTTGTAGAGATGGGGTTTCACCACATTGCCCAGGCTGATCTCAAACTCCTGGACTCAGCCGGGCATGGTGGCTCATGCCTGTAATCCCAGCACTTTGGGAGGCTGAGGTGGGCGGATCATTTGAGGTCAGGAGTTCAAGACCAGCCTGGCCAACATGGTGAAACCCCATCTCTATAAACAAACCAACAAACAAACAATCTCCTGGACTCAAGTGATTCTCCTGCCTCAGCCTCCCAAAGTGCTGGGATTAGAGGCATGAGCCAGCATGCCTGGCAGGAAAAATATTTTTTCTCTTCCTCCTTTTTCACTTGATTTGGTTTTAGCCTAAACAAAGTTATGGTGCCTGCCCCGCACCTAAGTGAGTTACTTCTATGCTGACACAGCAACTACTGGCTAGTCCACCCTCTCAAGATAAAATAGTCAGCAGTTTTTTTTAAAAACCAAGTTAAAATGCATCCTCGCCAGGCTCATTTTTCTTTTCACGTTGTCCTTAATATCATCTTCCCTAGTTACCCAGGTTTGGCTGACAACAAACAAAACTGCAGGGAAACAGTTTTGATCTCAGCCCTGGCAGGAACCCTCCCTGCTGCCCGCTCTCCTTTGTGGGAGGTGGAGAACAGAGAACGCTGCTTTTCAGAGGCTGTGATCCCCCACTCAGCCCCCAGTCCAGGGGACGGTGGAGACCCTGTGCCCCACTCCTGTCCTTCCTCTGCTTTTCACCTGAGGTCCTGCAACCTGACGCCAATGCAGTTGCCTCTGTATTCAGCAGATGCCTCGGATTATCATTCACATTTAGCAAAATGCTAATGAGGAACTAATTATAATTCCGTTTAACATGACCAGGCCCTGAGATACTGTATTATTCACCCACCCACCCTCAGCTGTTTTTGAACTGTGGGGAAGAAAGGGAGGAGACAGCTTCTTCCCCCAGCCTTGGTGGTTTCAGTAAAAGCCGTCCCCAGGCCTAGAAGAACAGAATTTGAGAAGGCACTTGGGTTTTAAGAGTTTGAGCTGGAAGATAAACCCCTGCTGTGGGCCAGGAGCCTGGCGGCTGGAGGCAGCTTTGGCTGGAAATTCATCCCACCTGCCTGAGGGTGCAGCTTGTGCAGAGGTGATGGGGGGTGGGCTGCCAGCCACTTCTCCACACGGAGGCCTCACCAAGCTGCCCAGCTTTGAGTGTCCACATGAATGTCCAAAGAGTCTTGACACAGTTCTCTCCGCAGTGGCCCAAGTCCACTGTAACGCCTTTAAGCAGGGCATTTGGAAAGCGAGGTTTGAAACCTGAACCACGTCTTCCTTCTGAACAGCTGCAGCAGACTGATTTTCCCCGGCACAGGAACCTCCATAAGGCTCTTCTGTAACAATGAAGCCAAAGGCCCCACGCCCCTGAGACAAGCTGGCATGGCGGTGGCAAGCATCTTTTGCTGAGCCCATTTGGACTCCGTCATCCACAGGGTCCAACATGCCTGACACCCAGCCTGCCGGCCCCACCCAGCCAGCTATCCGGGGAAGAAGTAGTCTCTGTTGTTGATGTCATAAGGGCTCCGTGAGTCCCTGGCATCTGGTCGGCTGTGGCTCGAGGTGTTGTCAGACCCCAGGCTGCTGGGGGACACCGGCGGGGAGATGAGAGGAACAAGCACTGGGGTGGATCGGGGCCTCTCCGGGACCAGCTGCCCCAAAGAGTACGGCGGGTGCGTGCTGGTCTTATCTTCCTTCCCAGCCCGCCGCTTCCGCGTCTTCTTGAGCCTTCACACAAACAACCAAAGACAAACACACAGATGTTTAGCTCCCCCTGTGACAAGCCCACAGTGGAAAACACCAACCGCTGGCTGCCCTGGTGGCCTGGCATTCCCAGGTTTCAGCTCAAAGGATCAATAACTATCCCATCCGCTGTTTTTTGGTTAGTTCGTTGTTTTTTTTTTGAGATGGAGTTTCGGTCTTGTTGCTCAGGCTGGAGGGCAATGGCCCAATCTCAGCTCATTGCAACCTTCACCTCCTGGGTTCAAGAGATTCTCCTGCCTCAGCTTCCTGAGTAGCTGGGATTACAGGCATGCACCACCATGCCCGGCTAATTTTGTATTTTTAGTAGAGAAGGGGTTTCTCCATGTTGATCAGGCTGGTCTTGAACTCCTGATCTGAGGTGATCCGCCCACCTCGGCCTCCCAAAATGCTGGGATTATAGGCATGAGCCACTGCACCCAGCCTAGTTTAAGACAGGGTCTTGCTCTGCTACCCAGGCTGGAGTGTAGCGGTGCGATCTCAGCTCGCTGCAGCCTCAACTTCCTTGGGCTCAGGTGATTCTTCCACCTCAGCCTCCTGAGTAGCTGAGGTGTATGCCACCAGATCCAGCTGATTTTTGTATTTCTCATAGAGGCAGGGTTTCACCATGTTGCTCAGGCTGGTCGCAAATTCCTGGGCTCAAGAGATTTGCCTGCCTCAGCCTCCGAAAGTGCTGGGTTTACAGGCATGAGCCACCACACTCAACCCGGCTGTTTTTATCACCAGGGAGTTCACCATAGTCTGAAGTACAGTGAAATTCAGAGTATGGTGAATTTGGGTGAGTTTCCAAAACTCTCCCAAAGAAAAAGATATGTATTGTTGGTCCAATTTACAAGTGAGGAAACTGAGGCACGTGTGGCCATGAGTGTCCTTTTAACACCCCAAAAAGTCACTTCACAGTCCCTTAATCATCCCATTCCAGAGGCTGTTCATTAGATACACATCATCAGTCCCAAATCCATTTACTCAAAAAAGAGAAAAATTAAGTATTCTTTTAGCAGAGAAAGAAAATGGGCCTCTCGGGCTGGGCGCAGTGGCTCACTCTACATCCCAGCACTTTGGGAGGCCGAGGCAGGTGGATCACCCGAGGATGGGAGTTTAAGACCAGTGTGACCAACATAGAGAAACCCTGTCTCTACTAAAAATGCAAAATTAGCTGGGCGTGGTGGCGCATGCCTGTAATCGCAGCTACTCGGGAGGCTGAGGCAGGAGAATCGTTTGAACCCAGGAGGCGGAGGTTGCAGTGAGCTGAGATCAGGCCATTGCACTCCAGCCTGGGCAACAAGAGCAAAACTCCGCCTCAAGAAAAAAAAAAGAGAAAAACGGGGCTCTCCGTCAAAGTAAGGCTGGCGGGAGGCAGATAATTTGCGACCACCACATGACAGCAGGAAAAGGGCCACACTGCTCCCTCGACAGCCCTGCTGTTCCTCTCACTCCTAATGCTGCCCACCTCCCCAGTTCTCCCCACACCTCTGGGTCCACTCCCACCACACTGGTGAGTTCCCACAGACTCAGCCGCGGGCACCACTGGGCACAAGTTGACTCATCTGACAGGAAAGTCAGTGCTACACAGGAAGGAGATAGACATCTCTCTGATCACAGCTTCGTTCACAGCGCTCCACTCTGGGCCCAAAGCCAGGGCTCAGGAACTGAGAAAAGTCACTTGACAGCTCAGAGAAAGATGAGATGGTGACATGGATCTTCAAAGCCACAGTCACGTCCCCTTCCTGAAGGGGCCCTTCAACTGTGCCGGGGTGGCCAGTGCCCCAAGCCTCAGCACCTCCCTCTTGCTTCCCACTTTGTGATTGGCATGCCTACTAACCCCAAAGTGGGAGCAAGGTGGCCTCCCTCAATTCCATCGAAGATCAGTTACTCCAGGAAGGGCTGGGAAAGAGGAGGGGAAATCAATGTCAAAAACAAGATTTGGGGTTTTTCCTTGCATTTCTTTTTATATCGACAGGTTATTCCTGTCCTTGTTATGATAAATAATTAATAGTTGGCTCCAAATCTGCCACTGGCTCTTAGCCTGGTATCCAAATGGGATAAACAATCTGCAGAATGTTACTTAGGGCTTTACCATTTGGACACCACAGAGGAAGAGAGCTCAGCAGGACTGCTGACTGGGGCAATGCTGAGTCATTGAATGGAGTTCTCCTGTAGGAGAGGACTGAGGAGCAAGTCATTAATTACACTCTGGATTTCAAAGCATTCAGACTCTGACCCAGGAATTCTACCTCTGGGAAAAGAAAGAACATAGCAATGGAAAAAGATTAATGCACAAAGATGTTCAACACAGTGTTGTTAATAAAACCAAAATAAGGACCGAGCATGGTGGCTCGCGCCTGTAATCCCAGCACTTTGGGAGGCTGAGGTGGGTGGATCACTTGAGGATAGGAGTTCAAGACCAGCCTGGACAATGCGGCGAAGTCCCATCTCTACTAAAAATACAAAAAGAATTAGCCAGCTGTCATGGCACACACCTGCAATCCCAACTACTCAGGAGGCTGAGGCAGGAGAATTGGCTGAATCCAGGAAGCGGAGGTTGCAGTGAACAAAGATCGTGCCACTACACTCCAGCCTGGGCAACAGAGTGATACATCTCAAAAAATAAATAAATAAAATAAAATAAAAATAACACCCAAATAATTGGTAATGTTTGGGTGCCACCAATTAGGAGTAATGGGAGGTTGATTAGGAGAACTTCGTTTATCCATCTAACACCATGGCTAATGAAAATGAGACTTACAGCCAGGCGTGGTGGCTCACACCTGTAATCCCAGCACTTTGGGAGGCTGAGGTGGGAGGATCACGAGGTCAAGAGATCAAGACCATCCTGGTCAACAAGGTTAAACCCAGTCTCTACTAAAAATACAAAAAATTAGCTGGGCATGGTGGCGCGTGCCTGTAATCCCAGCTACTCAGGAGGCTGAGGCAGGAGAACTGCCTGATCCCAGGAGGCAGAGGTTGTGGTGAGCCGAGATCGCACCATTGCACTCCAGCCTGGGTAACAAGAGCAAAACTCCGTCTCAAAAAAAAAAGAAAAGAAAAAAAAATGAGACTTACAAAGAATTTGTACAAATGTGAAAGCAAAGAATGCCTATGTTACAGTGCTGCGTGTGAAAGGCAGGATGCGGAGTTGAGGCTGTGAAAAAACAAACAAGAAACTAGGCAGAGGAAAAAGACTCAGGAAATTCGTCTAAATATTAAGTGTTCTTGATAGATTGTGAAACCATCTCCACGGGGTTGACAAAAACTGCACGCTGGGTTCTGGACAGAAATATATTAATAGTTATAACGAAGCATTAATCAGGCTGCACTCTGGCCCATTTCCTTGTTGCAAAAAGTCACGTAGCGCTAGATACTAACCTTTGCATTCCTGTTTCTGTATATGGGATTTCTGACATTCGGGTCCTAAGACTTTTGTTTAAGGATCACTACAGACGTTTTTCAGAACCCGAATTCCAGCAACCAGTTTGAAGACCCTCACAGAGGAACCACATTGGCATGAGAAGACAGGTTCTTACCTCCCTGTCCCAGGATTTCACCCTGCACTCTGCAACCAGCCAAATATCTCCATGCTTTGACCCAGTCCAGCATCTTTATGACCCTAGCCCCAAATTCCTTGGGGAGCTGGATTTGAGGTTTCCTCCCGTCGCCTCCCTAAGTGACCTTATCATTAAACCTCTTTCTTTTTCTTTCTTTCTTTTTTTTTTTTTTGAGATGGAGTTTCGCTCTTGTTACCCAGGCTGCAGTACAATGGCGTGATCTCAGCTTACTGCAACCTCCGCCTCCCGGGTTCAGGCAATTCTCCTGCCTCAGCCTCCTGAGTAGCTGGGATCACAGGCACGCACCACCATGCCCAGCTAATTTTTTGTATTTTTAGTAGAGACGGGGTTTCACCATGTTGACCAGGATGGTCTGGATCTCTTGACCTTGTGATCCTCCCGCCTCAGCCTCCCAAAGTGCTGGGATTACAGGCGTGAGCCACCGCACCCGGCCTCATTAAACCTTTCTCTGATGCAACCTGGTGTCTCCGAATCTTCACTTGCCACATGCATGTCATTATGATTACAATGACATGGGCGTGTACACTGCATGGTGCTGTCCACATGATGTGTGAACTTTTCTGTATGCTTGCTAGACTTCAATCACATTTATATTTTGAAAATTAACAGTGGCCCCCTTTGGATGACATATATTTTCTTCCATTTGTCATTATTTAGCAAATCACCAGTAATAGTCATGTATCACATACATTTGTGTATGTGTGTATATATATATTTTTAAAGACCCTATTGACCTTATTTAACTAATATGGAAGCAATCTCTGCCCTCAGTTTTTTTTCAAAGTAACCGAATGGGTAACCAAGAAAGGTGAGCTTTCCTTTTGAAATATTCTGAGGAGAGTATGAATCCTTTTCTGAAAATCACTAAACTCAAAGAGGCCTTTGAAACCAGCCAGCCTGAGGGAATCCAGAGCTGGCCTGGACGGGTGTAAACAGGGCCTGGGGGCTGGAGAGGAAGCAGGCAGGCGGGAAGAAGAAACAGATGAGCTCTCTGCTGCCTTCTTTTGCACCTTTAACCTCCACTTTTTATCTGTTTCACATATTTGGGCTTCAAAACGTTTTGTTTAAAGAAAAGATTCTGTAGCTAAAAGAGGTTTTTTAAAACATTCAAAAATTTCACTGTTTTTTAGAAAGATATGTAGAAACCATGGTGCCACCCCTTACCCCAAAGGCCACAGACAGTACCCACTGCACCCAGCCACTTCCGTGCCCTAGGGCACCGTGAAAGCCCCTCTGCCCATATCCCCTTCCCGCCCCCCTGTGGAGATAGGAGAACTCTGATTTTAAAATACTGGAATGATACACTATATCCAAAACAAAATGGTATTTAAGTCATAGGCATACACGTAGGAGGTCCTCACATAATGATGTCAAGTTCATTCTAGATAAATACGCAGAAAAGTAATTCTCTACTAGGAGAATCCTATTTTCCCAGTGCCTGATAACCTAAAATAAAGACAGAGAATCAGTGGGGGACAGGGACTAGGGTGGGAGGAATTGGCTCCTATAAGATGGCAAGCCTTTTTCAATAGCATATTTAAATTTTTTTTAAATTATCTATGATTCAGAAAAAAAGAATGAGTTTTTTAAAAAAAGGAAAAAATCACCGCTATTGCTGGAAAATATTTAGGGCAATACAAAAAATATAGTATAGACTGGCAGGACAAGGTCAACCTGCCCCTCACACTCCATCTATTGTAAATGTGGCCATGCCATGGTAGCCATGGTTCAGCCATTTTGGCAGCCCAGAGCCCCACAGTATTTCTAAGTTTATACACTTTGCTGGATAGAGGGGATTTGGGGAATAGAAGACTTCTTCATCACTTGAAATAACTGGTCTCTTTCCAAATAGATTTGCCTTATACGGAAGAAAAAGGAAACTCACTAGCCTAGGAAATAAATCCCTGGCAAGTTCTCAGCACAGGGCACTGGCCCTCTCTGTGCCTGCAGGGACTGGTTGTTTAGCAATCAGCCAGTGTCCAAGCATCATCAGCAGAAGAGCAAACCAGGTCTGTTCCCAACCCACTGCTCCTCCATTAGCAGTTACAACACACCAAGATGGCGCTGCATGGTAAGGGCCAGTGGTGGGCAGATGGGACCAGCTGGGCCCAGCACTTAGCCAATAGCAGGTGAGGACCATGGACAGGGACTCTCGGGGCGTGTGTTCCACTCCTGGCTCTTGCTTGTCCTAGGGCAAGTCATTTTACCTTTGGGGGCTGTTCCCTCATTTATAAAATGAAAGAGTTTGACTAGATGACCCCTAAGGCCCTATCAAAAGAACAGCAGTTTGGTTAGACTCCTGGTCTTATTCTTATTTTTATTTTTATTTTTTTGAGGCAAAATCTCGTTCTGTCACCCAGGCTGGAGTGCAGTGGCTTGATGTCAGCTCACTGAAATCTCTGCCTCCTGAGTTCAAGCGTTTCTCCTACCTCAGCCTCTCAAGTAGCTGGGATTAGAGGCGTGTACCACCACGCCCAGCTAATTTTTGTATTTTTAGTAGAGATGGGGTTTTGCCATGTTGGCTAAGCTGGCCTCAAACTCCTGACCTTAGGTGATCCACCCGCCTTAGCCTCCCAAAGTGCTGAGATTACAGACTTGAGCCACCGCTCCCGGCTGTTTTTCTTTTCTTTTCATGGACCATGTTGAAGTTGTTCCGTGAAATGGCCAGGCTAGTCTTGAACTCCCAATCTCAGGTGATCCACCCGCCTCAGCCTCCCAAAGTGCTGAGATTACAGGTGTCAGCCACCGCGCCCTGCCTATTCTTACTAGCTGCTATCGCTCCACCTCTTTCAGCTTCAGTTTCCTCCCTTGTCAAATGGATATCATATCTACTCTATCGGGGCTGTGGTGGGTTATGAGAAGAGCCTGTTGAAGCCCTAATGTAGACAGAGAGCCAGAACACAGGAGGGTATGCCTAGGACAAGGAAAGGAATCCTCTTTCAGGCAGGAGGTGGACCCCTGAACGCTGACATGGCCCCTCACTGGCCAAAACACACAAAAGGCTTCACATCCCCAAGGAGCTACCTCCACTCATTAAGAATCTTATCTTCCACACGGTCTTTAGACGACTTGTTCTCTACCTCGTTGACAAAGCAAAGTGAAAACAACCCGGGATCCAATTTGAGGAATCATCTTGCTAATCTTTCAACTCACACCACACGCGGTGGTCAAGCTAGGTCAGGGCCAACGGCAGGGTGCAATGAGCTAACATGCCGAAAGCACCGGCAGTCCCAGCTACTCCAGAGGCTGGGGTGGGAGGATCACTCGAACCTGGGAGGTGGGGGTTGTCCCGTGAGCCAAGATTGCACCGCAGCACTCCAGCCTGGGTGACAGAGTAAGGAAGACCCTGACCAAAAAAAGAAGAAAGAACCCTCTTCTTTCTCTTCTTCCTCAAACCAATTCTTCTTCCTCTTTTTTTTTTTTGAGATGGAGTTTCACTGTTATTACCCAGACTGGAGTGCAATGGTACGATCTCGGCTCACCGCAACCTCCGCCTTCTGGGTTCAAGCAATTCTCCTGCCTCAGCCTCCTGAGTAGCTGGGACTACAGGCACGCGCCACCATGCCCAGCTAATTTTTGTATTTTTAGTAGAGACGGGGTTCCACCTCGTTGACCAGGATGGTCTCGATCTCTTGACCTCGTGATCCACCTGCCTCGGCCTCCCAAAGTGCTGGGATTAGGGGCGTGAGCCACCGCGCCCGGCCTCTTTTTCCTCCTTAAAACCAGGTCAGTTCTCCTCGCCAGGGCAGGCTATTTGTAGCTCTTACTGCACCAGTGAGTGCCTCTTAGTGTCTGGCTTCCTCCCGAGACTGTATGTGTCCTGCCCAGCACTGTCTGCTGCAGCACCTACAACGGGGCTTGTACACACACCACAACACAAACAGCACCTACTCCACCTCCCGGGTTCAAGCAATTCTCCTGCCTCTGCCTCCTAAGTAGCTGGGATTACATGTACCCACCACCATGACCAGCTAACTTTTGTATTTTTAGTAGAAATGGGGTTTAACCATGTTGGTCAGGCTGGTCTCAAACTCCTGACCTACTGTGTGTGTTGTGGTGTGTGTATCCATTTGATGAATGGATAAATGAATGAATAGATGCACTGTAAATTTCAGAACAGGCAAAGGAAAGCTAGATAGGAAATACGAGAACACCACAGGGCCATCCCACAGGACCCATCTCACCTCAGGCCAACAGCAATGCAGAGGAGCGTTCCAAAGGCCAGGCTCCCTCCAGCCACCAGGAATGTGGGCAGCGGTACTGAAGAAGAATCTTGCACTAGGTTAAAAAAAAAAAAATGAAAATGGAGGAAGGGGAGAATACAGAGAAAAAGGAACAGGAGGAGGAGAAGAAAACCACTTAGCTGGTGCTGTCAAAAGCCTCAAAGGAACCTTCCCCTCCAACCCCTCCCAGAAAAGGAAACAGTTCCGCCAATCAACAGGCCGACAAGCTTGACTGTTTCATTTGCTTGTTTGTTTTGTTTTCGTTTTTTTTTTTTTTTTTTTTAAACAAAACCCACTCTATAAGAATTACCCCCAGCCTAATCTGCCAGGATTCCACCACTTGGCAAGAGAGGCACCTCAAGCTCAGGGTTTCTGAGCGCCTGTGGCTAGCCACGGACTCCCACTCACTTTCAAGGTGGCTTTTCTGGTGGCATCCCACTTGACCCCATAAGGCTCAGAGAGGGTACAACAATGGAAGGCTTTGGGGACCTCTTTGGTGGTATGGCAGTTCCACTGAAGACAATGTCAGAGAGGACTAGATGCTTTAAATTAAGTATTTGACAGCAGTTTTCTCCAGAGGGCTGCCATCTCTTGCCAGTCCCTGCATCTGGTACCGAAGCCCCAGCTGTAGGAACTTCATTCAGTTCTCCAACAAGCCACCATCTTTCTCCCCCAGGGTTCTCCACACATATTCCCTCGTCTCTCCTGGCTGCTTTCCCCACCTTCGCTGCACCCTTTGCTGTCCAGTCCCTCCATGGCCTTTGGGTCTCAGATGAGGTGATGCCGCTTCCTTTGAGAACTGACCCCACTCCAAGCTGAGCAAGCGCCCCTCCCACTTATGTCTCCAGTCCCACCTCCAGACTGAGCTCCCCAAAGGCAGGGACCGCACATGTCTTTTTCACAGTAACACTGCCACACGCAGTGCCAAATACAAAGAGGATCTCCAAGACACGTCCTTGAATGAAGGAGAGAACAAACTAGCTTTGCAAGCAGCCATGTCTTCCCACAGAAAGGCTCTTCCTACCATTGCCGGAGACCCTGGACCAAACAGAAGGTACATCTAAGCAAAACCATCTCCTTCTGCCGGGAATGCAGTCACAGTTGAATGGACCCAGGATTCAGCTCTTCTACCTGAAATGCCACCCACTACTGATGAAGAGGCTGCCTGCCGGCCCTCACTTCAGATGCCTACTGGAGGCAGGCAGTGCAGTGAGCCCAGGCTGGTGAGTGGGCGCTGGCTTCCTCCAAGTGCGTCCCACATCTCTTGAGAGACACAGCCATGTGATGAAAACGGGATGCTTGGCTTGCTCACTTATTCATATTTCATCATCTTTTATATTTGCTCCTTTTTTTTTTGGAAATGGAGTCTCGCTCTTGTCACCCAGCCTGGAGTACAGTGGCACGATCTCAGCTCACTGCAGCCTCTGCCTCCCAAGCAGCCAGGATTACAGGTACCCGCTACCATGCCCGGCTAATTTTTGTATTTTTAGTAGAGAAGGGGTTTCACCATGTTGTCCAGGCTAGTCTTTTTGTTTGTTTGTTTTATTTTCACAGACCATGTTGAAGTTGTTCCATGAAATGGCCAGGCTAGTCTTGAACTCCCGATCTCAGGTGATCCTCCCGCCTCAGCCTCCCAAAGTGCTGGGATTACAGACATGAGCCACCGCGCCCGGCCCACAGCAACCTTGGAACAGCCAACCTCTAGCATCCCACCCCTACCATTCAAAGCCCATTTCAAATGGCACTTCCTCCATGAGCTTTCTGTGACTACTCCACTTGATACACTCTCCCAGATCTCTAAACCCCACTTTGCTTTATCCGATGGGGCCTTTTGGCCCATCTCACACTCTGCTCTTTGTCACAGTTACCAGTTTACTCTTTGTCAGAGCCTGGACTGTAGCCTCCTTGAGAACAGGATGGCTCTAATCCTCTCCGAGTCCCCAGCTGTGCAGAGCTCCACAGGTGCACTGCACCATGGTAGGGCTTTACACCTGGGCTGGTGTAGCAGAGGCAGCCAGTATCAGGTGCAGGCAGGAATCCTCCCAGAGATGGGGAATGAGGCCAAGGACGCCCTCGCAAAGCCCAAAAACCATCAGGTGGGGTCACTCAACTACTGAGTCTCTGGAGTCTGGATTCCACAAGTCCCATACACCTAGTCAAACACAGGACTTGTGATCTTTCTTGATTCAAATACTGGTAAGTTTTCCTGGTCTTGCAGGGATAGGGAATCAGAAGCACTGAAATCATGGGCTCCCTAAATAAAGATTTCCCTGAACAGGTATTCCATTTCAGACTCCAACAATCTTGTTTACAGCACATTCATTTGTATTGTGGGCCCATTGGATAATATCTCACTGCTTTAGCCCTCTCTTCTTATGGTATCCTCATTTTATCTTAGCTAACAATACCAAACTTCAACATATAAAGTAATAAAAGAACATTTCTGGCCAGGTGCGGTGGCTCATGCCTGTAATCCCAGCACTTTGGGAGGCCGAGGCAGGTGGATCACCTGAGGTCAGGAGTTCAAGACCAGCCTGGCCAACATAGTAAAACACTGTCTCTACTAAAAATACAAAAATTAGCCAGGCATGGTGGCATGTGCCTACTGCCCCAGCTATTCAGGAGGCTGAGGCAACAGAATCACTTGAACCCAGGAGGCAGAGGTTGTGGTGAGCCGAGATCATGCCATTGCACTCCAGCCTGGACAACAGAGTGAGATTCCATCTCAAAAAAAAAAAAAAAAAATTCTGCCATTGATCCTCTGACGAGCTGTCCAAATAAGAAAGGACTTTCTGCAGAGACAAATCTTCCATCCCTCAAACCCTGGGAATATGAAAACACCCATTCCTTACCTGGGAGGCTTGTCACATTTGCAGAATCTCTGGGGAGAGTATTATTGTCGTCTTTATTAGCATTTGGTGCCTAAAAGAGACATTTTTCACCATCAGCCTGTTTCTGCAGATTCCACCTCATTTAGAACCACGTCAGGAATTACCTCCTCCTTAGAGCCCTCCCTGATCCACCCAAAGCATTCCTTTCTCCATTTTATCTGTAACAGTGGAAAAGACAATAATCCTATTATTTGCAGGTTTTTCTATCCACACCTGATAAGTGGATAGAAAAGGTGAGGCTTTCTTTCCACCTGTCTCTCCAATAAAAGCTTAAGGGCACAGCACCCTGCACAAAGATACTCAATGGATACATGAAAGCAGCTGACGTCCTTACAGGTCCGATGCCAGGGGCAGGTAACACCTCGACTGGAATCCTGGCTCCACCACTTATGAGCTATGTCACCTTGGACAGACTTCTTTTTATTTTTTACTTTTTTGTGAGATGGAGTTTCACTCTTGTCACCCAAGCTGGAGTGCAATGGCGTGATCTCGGCTCACTGCAACCTCTGCTTCCTGGGTTCAAGCAATTCTCCTGCCTCAGCCGCCGAATAGCTGGGATTACAGGTATGATCCACCAGGCTAATTTTGTAATAATTAATCTTTAGGCCGGGCGCAGTGGCTCAAGCCTATAATCCAGCACTTTGGGAGGCTGAGGCAGGTGGATCACGAGGTCAAGAGATCGAGACCATCCTGGTCAACATGGTGAAACCCCGTCTCTACTAAAAATACAAAAATTAGCTGGGAATGGTAGTGCGCACCTGTAGTCCCAGCTACTCGGGAGGCTGAGGCAGGAGAATTGCCTGAACCCAGGAGGCGGAGGTTGCAGTGAGCCGAGATCGCGCCATTGCACTCCAGCCTGGGTAACAAGAGCGAAACTCCGTCTCAAATAATAATAATAATTAATCTTTAGTAGAGACGGAGGTTCACCATGTTGACCAGGCTGGTCTGGAACTCCAGACCTGAGGTGATCCACCCGCCTCGACCTACCAAAGTGCTGGGAGCCAAAGTGCTTATAGGCGTGAGCCACTGCGCGGGCCTCAGACTTCTTAACCCATGGTAAGAAGCTCTTACAAGGCCTCCCTTGTAAGGTCAACATAAGGAGCGAATGAAACAGCAAATGCCAGGCTCACAGTTTAGCAGGATGTGCCAGTCCGCAGTTGGTGTCAGTTTCCTCAGAACCCATGTTGAGAGCACTGTAGCCCCATGGGTACGGGCTTCACCTGCAGCTGTTCCTACATGGAACACAGATATGGTTCAAGAGCCCCCGGCTCTTTCCCTGTGCTGCATAGCTCCAGAAGTGTCTATGCCTCCCAGCTTAGCATTTAGGGAATTAAGGGGCCACAGGAGGAGACATAGTTGGATAGGAAATTGGATCACTCCAGGAATTTGCTAAGCAGCTTCAGAGGTAATCCTCTTTCCAGCAAATTATGACACCAGGAGTCCACAGGGAAAGGACTCAGATGAACCGAATCCAATCTCAAGCTAAGCCGTGAGCAGTGTCCAAAAAGCTCAGAGATGAAATAGCAGCCACTAGACACAGTTCTGCGTGCCAGGCCAGGGCTGCTCCACACCTGACAGTCCTGGGACGAGAGAACTTCTATGATTCCCTTTCACAGGGGCTTGAAAAGCACAGGTAACTCACCATGGTCACATTTCTAGTAAGTGACAGAGCTGGGATTTAAACCAAATTAGGTCTGCTGCTGCCTTGGCTCTCTTACAAGAACAGGAGCTCACCTGCGTGGGGGTGGACACCTCCTTCTCAGCTGGAGGGCTCCTGGATTCTGCGGACAGAACAAAGGGTCCATTAATAGTGATTCATGGGCCCTGGAGTCCTGCCTCGGGGGCTTCAGAATCAGAAAAAAGTTCATCTTAATGTTATTTAAAAGAACAGCATGCTGGAAATAACCAAATATCCAACCATAAGGGACCATCTATATAAATTATGGGATAACTATATAATGCAAAAACCTTTAACATTTATTTTGTGTGTGTGTGTGTGTGTGTGTGTGTGTGTGTGTGTGTGTGTGTGTATTTTTTTGAGATGGAGTTTCACTCTAGCCCAGGCTGGAGTGAAGTGTCATGATCTTGGCTCACTGCAACCTCCACCCACTGGGTTTAAGCAATCCTGCTTTAGCCTCCCAAGTAGCTGGGATTACAGGTGTCCGCCACCACACCCAGCTAATTTTTGTATTTTAGTAGAGATGGGGTTTCACCACGTTGGCCAGCCTGGTCTAAAACTCCTGACGTCAGGGGATCCACCCACCTCAGCCTCCCAAAGTGCTAGGATTACAGGCATGAGCTACTGCACCTGGCCAATTATTCTATTTTTTGAGACAGGGTCTCACTTTGTTGCCAGGCTGGAGTGCAGTGGCATGATCATGGTTCAGTGTAGCCTTACTTCTGAGTTTCAGTGATCCTCCATCTCAGCTTCCCAAGTAGCTGGGACTACAGGCATGTGCCACCACACCTGGCCAAAAATATTTTAGAAAAACATTGAAGACATGATATACAAAAAGCAAGACAAGAAAAATTCCATGTATTTTGATCCAAACTTTCTTTTTTTTTTTGAGACGGAGTTTCACTCTTGTTACCCAGACTGAAGTACAATGGTGCGATCTCGGCTCACCGCAACCTCTGCCTCCTGGGTTCAGGCAATTCTCCTGCCTCAGCCTCCTGAGTAGCTGGGATTACAGGCACACACCACCATGCCCAGCTAATTTTTTGTATTTTTAGTAGAGACAGGGTTTCACCATGTTGACCAGGATGGTCTCGGTCTCTTGACCTCATGATCCACCCGCCTCGGCCTTCCAAAGTGCTGGAATTACAGGCTTGAGCCACCGCACCCGGCCGATCCAAACTTTCTAAAGAAACATACTTATATGATTATTTATGGTGTAATAGAATACATATCATAATACTATATATCTACACACAGGAAGAAGAAAATGGAAAGATACACATCACCATATGTAAGCACTATTTCAGTTTCCTTCTCTGCCCCTTTTTGCAATAAAAAATATACAAACCAATATTCACCTGCCTGCATGGGTCTAATAAACATTGCAGCCGCAGGGATGTGGACCAGGCACCCTCACGGCCCCCTCCCCACCTGTGGGAACAGCGTTTCTGTAGAAACCCGAAGCCAAGAGGAGGCTAAGTATTTAAGTGAAAGCCGGGTCTTAACCGTAACAGGCAGTGAGTGGAATGCTCTGGATTTCAAAACATTTTCTTGTCAGCTCATTTTTCCATCAAGAATTCTAAAATTCCACAGAATGGTTTACACAAAAATGACGAGCCTCGCCGGGCCAGGAGTAAGAAGGACTAGCGAGGAGGCGGGGAGAGGGTGATCCTGCTGCCTCTACGCTGGGAGGGATTCCAGAATTCCTGGAGGATGCTGTCACCAGCAAGGGGGAAACCCATACCAGCAGCGCTAGAGGGGATGTAAGAATGCATTCTTCTCATTGTACAGAGGGAAACAGAGGCCCAGGGAGGGAGAGTGACTTGTCCAAGGCCACACAGCAAGTGTGACCAGAATTGAACCTAGAATTAATTCATGGGAGGGACCAGTTTCTTATTCCTTTGAGTTCTGCCCAGCCCAGCCCAGCAGAAAACAGTTACACTCGGGCCGAGCACGGTGGCTCATGACTGTAATCCCAGCACTTTGGGAGGCCGAGGTGGGTGGATCATGAGGTCAACAGATCGAGACCATCCATCCTGGTCAACATGGTGAAACCCCGTCTCTACTAAAAATACAAAAAATTAGCTGGGCACGGTGGCACGTGCCTGTAACCCCAGCTACTCAGGAGGCTGAGGCAGGAGAATTGCCTGAACCCAGGAGGTGGAGGTTGTGGTGAGCTGATATCGCGCCATTGCACTCCAGCCTGGGTAACAAGAGCGAAACTCTGTCTCAAAAAAAAAAAAAAAAAAAAAAAAAAAAAAGTTACACTCATAGCCCATGTGTCTAAAGGATGTCCTGAGGGTGTAGGGGTGCTAGAATGAAAGCTAAAATCAGAAGACAAAGAAGATCGAGACAGGCTGGACTCTAAATCTGTAATCCTAGCACTTTCGGATGCTGTGGGAGAACCGCTTAAGGCCAGGAGTTTGAGACCAGCCTGTGTAACGCAGTGAGACCTCATCTCAAAAAAAAGAATAAGAAAAGAAGATGGGGCAGCACTGAATAGAAAATATGACTGACCATGGACGCTCATGCCGTCCCGCAGTTTGCCAAATGCAGCAGAGTCAGCTTTGTCTGGAGCCTTTTAGGCTCCACTTTGTCGCCTCAGAACCATGGAAATGGGACCCCAGCCTTTTTTTTTTTTTTTTTTGGCAGAGTTTTGCTCTTGTTGCCCAGGCTGGAATGTAATGGTGATTTCGGTTCAACTGAAACTTCTGCCTCCTGGGTTCAAGCGATTCTCCTGCCTCAGCCTCCCGAGTTGCTGGGATTACAGGTGCCCACCACCACTCCGTGCTAATTCTGTATTTTTAGTAGAGACAGGTTTTCTCCATGTTGGTCAGGCTGGTCTTGAACTCCCAACCTCAAGTGATCTGCCTGCCTTGGCCTCCCAAAATGCTGGGATTGCAGGTGTGAGCCACAGCGCCCAGCCTGGGTTTTTTTAAGGCTCTTCATACTATACTCAAGAGAGATGCTTTACGAAGAAAGTTTCTACCCTCAGTCCTGACCCCCAGCACAGCCAGAGAAAGCCCAGTAACCTCTGGCTGCTCAGGTTTCTGGGGGTAAAGTGGGAATGAACCACAAAGCCACAGGAAGAGAGGAGGAGAGACCATGGGACCCACAGGCTCAGCAGTGCCGGGCCACTCCCCCACGCTGAGCAAGCGGCCCTACTTCACACCTTTCCTCACAGCCTTTAAACCACTCAACAGAGAGCTCATCACTGCTCCTCCACTTGTGCAGAAACAAATAAATAAACCTCTTGAGGAGCCGACAGTCTGCTGAGGAGAAATGACTCACCTCCAGCTGGGTTCCAAACACCACCCGGCATGGTCTGCGGAGAGAAGCCCAGTGGGGGCAAGCACAGAAAGGGCTGTGTGTCCACTTCCACAGTGTCTGGGTGCCAAAAGCACCCCTCATTCTGAGGTTTCACCCTTCCTCATTTGTGGGGTGGCTGTGGGGGGCAGCTAAAGCAGCGTTTTGGTTGTTAAGACAGGGTCTTGCTCTGTTGATCAGGCTGGAGAGCAGTGGTGCAATCACAGTTCACTGTAGTCTGCAACTGCTGGGCTCAGGCAATCCTCCTACCTCAGCCTCCCGATTAGCTAGAACTACAGCTGTGCACTGCTATGCCCGACTAATTTTATTTTTTAACTTTTTTTGGTAGAGGCAGGGTCTCCTTATGGTACCCAGCTGGTCTCTATCTCCTGCGCTCAGGCAATCCTCCCCCCTCAGCCTCCCAAAGTGCTAGGATGAGAGGCCTGAGCTACCACACCTGGCCATCCTTTCTTTCATGAAATTATGGTGATAATAAATGCTAATAGCCATTTTTCACTTACTTGTTTAATTTTATGTCCTTCCTTACCAACATTAAAAGCTGGCAACTGGCTGGGTGCAGTGGCTCATGCCTGTAATCCCAGCACTTTGGGAGACTGAGGTGGGTGGATCACCTGAGGTCGGGAGTTCGAGACCAGCCTGACCAACATGGAGAAACCACGTCTCTACTAAAAATACAAAATTAGCTGGGTGTGGTAGCACATGCCTGTAATCCCAACTACTCAGGAGGCTGAGGCAGGATAATCTCTTGAACTCAGGAGGCAGAGGTTACAGTGAGCCGAGATGGCACTGCTGCACCTCAGCCTGGGAGACAGAATGAGACTCCATCTCAACAAAAAAAAAAAAAAAAAAAAAAAGCTGGTAACCTTCACTGGTCCCCAGAATTGTTTTCAAAATTTTACAGACCCATGAAATCCCAATATTTAGGAATCACCCAGTTGTGCACAGGAACGTCAGGCGGGTGGGCGAAGGCAGGACACGGGAGAAGGCTCATGGAGAGGGGCATGAAAAGTGGAGTGCACCAGGATGGCTGACTGCCAGATGCTGCTGAGATGCGGCAAGTGGTGAGAACCCAAACCAGATGCTGCTGAGATGCGGCGAGTGGTGAGAACCCAAACCAAGGCACAGACGTTTGGCGCAGGCTCATGTGCAGGCTCCTGGCTGGGTAGCTGGGTGAGTGGGGTGTCCCCTTGGCAAGTGGGGCGCAGGGAGGTCTGTGAGGGACGTGGTATGTTTGGTTTGGGTCATGCTGAGACCTGGCACAGGAGGGAGGCTCTGGCCGGAAGTCAGGGCTGAGCTGAAGACGTGAATCCAGAGCTCAAGAAACAGTCTTGGCAGGAGACACGGGTGAAAGGCAGTCACGCTGGCGTTGATTGCACCCTTGTCATATGCCAGGCTCTGTGCTAATTGCTTCTCACCTCATTGAAGCCTCACAACCCACCGAGGCTGGGTTTGGGTTTTCTGAGTCAGGCATTGTTATTCCCACTTGACAGATAAGTAAACTGAGTCTCGGTGAGGTACTTCCCCAGGGTCCTGCTAGACCCAACGCTGCCTGCCTCCAGAGCCAGTGCTCTGCACAAAGTGGCAGGTGACGCAGTGGAAGTGGGCGGGGTCCCCAGTGGAATGTTCTAGAAAGCTGCAGAAAACAGGGCAGAGAGGGAATTTGGGATGCCACACAGAGACGTGAACAGGGCAAAATCTCTCCAGAAAAGTGTGACCAAGGCTCTTTAACCCCAGAATGTCCCACTCGGGAGTGCTACTGAGAGGAACAAAACAAAA